GTTGCCATCGAGTTGACTGACATGCCGACCCCGTGTGTGTCAGCGTAGAATGCGCTGCACAGGGTTTTCAGTGGCTGATTTTTCGGAACTGGATCACCAGCCTGCCTTCTGAGGTGCATGGACAGGGTCTGTTGCTGCTGTACCCGGAGGCCAGACAGTGCAGCAGAGTGGTTTGGAGCAGGGGCCTTGTGTCCCAGGGACCTAGGTTCAAATTCCGCTCCGTTTCACATTTCTGGGTGACTTTGGGCACATGACTACACCCCGGAGTCTCCCTTTTTCTCGTCTGAAAGTAGCCTGAATAAGCAGCGCCCACAACCAGCACGACGTGATGATTGCCCAGTCCCTGTGGATGGAGTCTAGGTCGTCTCCAGGCTTTGGCTGATCCCAACAACAGTGACTATCCCTGGACCGGCTTCTTCACTGCGCTGTCGGATGAGGGCCTCTGGGTCAAAGGCGTGTCGTTCACAGTTCAATAGCAGTTGCTCAGCTGGCGTCCAGGGAGCCTCTCGGCAGTCACCCCCGCCAGCAGCGCGGGCAGATCTGTGTCCCTGTTGTGCAGTGGGCTCTTGTGGATTGTTGTTGTTGCTGTCTAGTCAGTTACAACTCGTGGCGACCCCATGTGTGCAGAGTAGAACTGCTCCATAGGGTTGTCAAGGCTGTGACCTTTCAGAAGCAGATCGCCAGGCCTTTCTTCCGAGGCACCTCTAGGTGAGTTCGAACCCTTTCGGCTAGGAGTCGAGCGCTTAACTATATGCGCCACCCAGGGACTCCTAGTGTGTGTTAGACACTTGATTTTTGCCGGTCTTGTAGGGGTAGGGAGTCTCCTTTGAGTTCGTGTATGACTTCAAGCATCTCTTCAGACATGGAGAAGTGACTCGGATGTCCTTTGCCTCAAAAGCTCTTGGAAGCTCATTAGTGCCAGGTACTGTGCTAAATGCATCTTTCTGTCCTCCCTGAAGGAGCCCTGGTGGCGCAATGGGTAACTCTCTGCTGCTAACCGAGAGGTTGGTGGTTTGAACTCACCAGCAACTCCATGGGAGAAAGACCTGGTGATCTGCTCCCGTAAAGATTACAGCCTAGAAAATCCTATGGGGCCGTTCTCCTCTGTCCTGTAGGGTCGCCTCCACGGCAGCGGCAGCGGGGAGTCCTCACTGAACCCTGTGGGGGAAGGATGAGGGGATGGAGGCTCGCTTCCCCGAGTTACACAGAGCGAGGCATGGAAGCCACCAGAGCCGCCTGCCACCGGGATTTGCTGCCACCTCCATCGTCCAGTTGTCACCGAGACCCAGTGGTTCAGGCCCCCACCTGGTCTGATGCTCTTGGGTCCCGGGATGGGGTTGGGGTCCTAGGGTCCCTTCTAGAGACAGGACCCTCACAGGGTGAGCTTCCTGCCCTGTGTCCCGGTCCTTGGCGGTCCCTGGGCCTCTCCCTTTTCCTGTTTTGACGCTGGCTCTGCTAGCGCGGAGACAGGCGTGATGTCTTCATCCTCCAGTGGGGAGCCGCGATGGGGATCACCCGCCCCCCACCTGTCAGCCCCCCAGCACCCTCCCCGGTCTATCTGGCACACGAGGTAGGGCTCCTGGGCCTTAGCACCTGGTTAGTGGGGAGGGACCCCAGCAGGGGGTCCCATGACACCCCTGCTCTCCCTGCTGACATCAGGTGGTGGGGCTGGGGGTGCTGCCCGCCCGTCCTGGGCTGGGCCCTGGCTGCTACAGCACCCTCGTAAATCAGGGGGCTGAGGGGTGTCGGAAACGGGCCTCTGGAATGTCTGGGTTGGGGGGGGTGAGCCCTTAACTCTTAGGAGTACAGGCGGGTGGGGCAGGAGCCGCTGCCTGTGTCCCAGGATGAGGGGGCCGGCAGGAAAGTGTGCCCCCCCCCGCCGAGGCAGGGGCATAAATTGAGGGCAGGGCCCCCTGCCCTCAGGAGCTGCTTGTCAACATGGCCCCGGGAGGAATCCTGCTCAGCTGTCTGCTGCTCCTGGGGCTGCTGCTGGGCCTCAGTTGGGGCCCCGCTGCTCTGGGGTCCCCAGTGGTGGAGTCTGGAGAGTTCTGGGCTGAACACATAGCAGAAGCCGGAGGGAACCAGAGGCCGTGGCTGGGTAAGGACCCTGAGTCCCCCGTCTGATCCCCAACTCCTGCCTGCCCAGGCTCTGCCCGCTGTCAGCTGCCCTGTCTCCCTCCCCAGGTGCCCGCCTGCGCCGAGCTGCGGCCGGCCCGTGCCAGTTGCGGAGTCTGACCCTGCCGGTGGCCGAGCTGGGCCTGGGCTATGCCTCGGAGGAGAGGGTGGTCTTCAGCTACTGCGCCGGCAGCTGCCCCCGCGGCGCCCACACCCAGCACGGCCTCACGCTGGCCCGGCTGTGGGGCCAGGGCCGTGCCCACGGCGGGCCCTGCTGCCG